TCATTCTTTTCCTTATCCAATTCCTTTTTATTATCTAATTGTATGAAAATCTGTTCTGATTTTGTTCAATCCTCTAATTGTATTTGTATTATATTCCACAAAATCCGTTTTTTAAAAAAAAAAACACCATAACATCCGATAAGTAAAAAAATAAAGTACGTAAAATCTTTACTAAAATAAAAACGCTTTATTTATTATCTAATTTATTATCTAATTGTATAAAAATATGCTCTGATTTTATGGTACGTACTACAAATTGTGCACCTGTGTTTAGGAGGTACTTAACGGGCAAGCTCTGTGAAAATGACTCATTTAGTGCTTGTGTCCCGTGCATACGGTATGTATTTTTATTACACATACTAGAAAATTGTGCACCCCGTGTATCTCACGGGCTCTGTACTAATAAATGACCTTAAAATTGTGCACTTCGTGCATCACCCGTGTTCATATTTTGGCCTATTACAGGTCACGTACTATATATATCCCGTACATTTTTTTTATTCATTTATATAATTATAAGAATGAATAAATGACCTTAAAATTGTGCACCCCGTGCATCGCACGGGCTCTGTACTAGTCATCAAATGAAAAGGCATATATACCACTGATGTCAAGTGATTACAGTTTGGGTCATCGTCCAAAACATCTTAGCACAGAAGAAGCCAGGGTCGATGAGAGGAATTTCAGCCCAGCCGATCCTCCGGGAAAGTACGAGATGCAATAGTACGATAGTGCAAGGACCTACCCAGCCAAAAAAGGGGGAAAAATATGGCTGTAATTACAGAAGTTCATAATTCGAGTCTGAATGAGTACAATAGTAATATAATGATGATAAAGACGAAGACCGAAGAAATGGGTTTGATACCTGCAACACAGAGAAAAGAATAGAAAGAATGTAGCTGTGGAGAACCATGGATACATAAATTGTGCCCGCTATGCTTCCAAGAAATCCCAACGTAAAAGGTAGTCTCTGGAAGGGAAATCAAGAATAATAAAACATATAAATAAATAAATTGGTGATAGTGAGTCCACGAGTAAAGATAAGGAGAATAAATAAAGAGTACTCAATAGCTATTGGAAAAGATTAGCCAGCTGTTACTAGAAATACCTCTTTTGATAACATGTGACTGAGCTGACTTCTTGGGCCCTTGAGGGCAAAAAATGAACCGACTATAAAGGCACACCCAATAGTGAAGCAGATTGCAAACTTCTGGGGCTTGAGCACCATTACAGGTAGGAAAATGGTGAAAGCAATGAAGATGAAAAAGACGCCGGCAGCAAGGAAGAACCCGAAGTACAAAAGAGATTTTCCTGAAGGAACATTGCTTGTGGCAGAGTTGAAGCTCCCAGGTAACTCTCTCACTCCTTTCGAAACTCTATTCAGGATAACAGAGAAAAAGTCGAGTTGAGAGATATTGATATAAATGTATAGGCGAACCTCCCTAAATAACATTGCTTTCCGTATAGTTGACAACAGATCATCAGAACAAAAAACATTTGAGATTTCGCATCAACATATAGTAATGAAACATGGAGCATGTAACTTGGTTCTCACTTGCTAGCTTCAATCAGAAAATAACTGAACAACCGGGAAGATGGAAAATATGCATTTGCTTGGAAGATGAACAAACTTGGGCAAGAATCTCCATCTGTCTTGCCTAACTTCTGAAAAATTCTTTTTTCCTCGGCAAGATCCATATGTTTTAATCTGCGTGAAAAATAATCCAACAATGTGGGCATATGGCCAGCATGATATGAACTATTGTTTGGCTGGGGACATCTAAAACGTACTTGAAAATTTCGGAACCACAACATCTGACCAAAACTACGAAACCACAACATCTACCTAAGAAAGTCTACTGTTGCATGCATTGACCCTTTTCACGAGTGGAGATCACTAGCCCATCATTATCATTAGCCTGCGTGGTTGCATCTCAATACTATTTATCTAACAAATCTCTATGGGATCTTCAAGTCATAAAATAATGACTTTTGTATGATGTTCTGAGAAGACTGTAAGACGCAGGTATAAGTTTTTACTGCTTTGTCCACAAATTCTTGACATAATGCTTATACATACACACATTGTAATCTGTTTCCACTTGTTATTGGACATCACAATCTAAGTAGTTATGGGCTCCGAATTCGTCTAGTACGTGTGTGTGTGTGGAATCATAAAATAATCTGAATTCTCTAATACAATAACTGAAGTAGTATATAAGTGTCAACCCTTCATGCGAACGTACAATTCAGGCCCAACAGTCACATAAAAAATATTAGTAACACAAAAGAGCATCAACAAAGTTATGTTCTTCAAGCATGTTTCTACAATGACTTTGGGTTTGGGGGGATATGACCCACTAAAATGCAACTGGAGACTGATCCCAGCAATTTGACTCTAAATGCTCACTTTGCAATGCATCTTTAACAATGTCATGTACTAGAATGGGAACATCTACTGGCTCAGTTTAACGTAATTACTTTTCCTGGATGACTATCTGGCGATAAGGTGTACTATAGTGAGTTCATAAGGTTTGCACAATAATCATCTGGTATAAAGAGGAAAGATTCATATCCATGTATGAATTCTTCGTTACCTCAATTTCATTCAAAGTAACATAACTCAAACTTACAATCATGGGTCGATACACACTTCCATTCGAAGAAATCCGAATCAATTTTCCAAATGCACTTAAACAAGCCAGTTTCCACTAAAAAACTAAAAACTGAGGCACGAATGTATGGAAATACAAATCGCAAATTTCTCTCGAAATCGATAACAATAATAGAATTAAACCCCAATTGAACTAATGAATGCGAAATAGCTTTCACCTAGGTTTTATGTAGGGACACTTACACGCTGAAGGTCGATGTGACTTTGTCGTTGGCGGTCCTTACAGCAGCTTCGAGATCGAACGCGGAGGGATCTCCGTCGTCAGCGTTGGAAGAGGCGGCATATGCGTTCCAGTCGGCGAGCAGAGACGTCGTCTTCGCGTCGAGATCGTTGCTGGGGCCGCCGGAGAACCAAGCCTGCGCCGTTTTATGCATATCCGATCGTACTGTTTCTACAGCCGCTGTGGGATATAAAGGGATATTTTTACTAATCAAAAAATAACTAAATGTTATAAAATGCGAGCAATATAAAGAACACAATGTATAAAAACCGGATATAAATC